TGATTAAAAAAAAAAAAAAAAAAAAAAAAAAAAAACGTGACCGTACCTACCACGTGATTGTTACTTTGGCTGATGGCAATAAGCAACATCCATTTTGTACGCTTTTTTTTTTTTTTTTTTTTTTGTTTTTTTTTTAATATAATAAAGCCTAATTCGTCATTTTGCAATGATTTTCAAAATAACCAATGTCGCTTATCAAATCTCTGCCCGCTGCCCCTGCCCCATCTGACACCGGCTGCCTGATTACTTATAAATTACAATATGATTTTTTTTTCTATATTTAAAATTTAAAACTTATATTCATGTTCAATTTTTTACGTTTTTAATTTAAAATTTCAAAGAAATTAAATAATAATGGATTATTTTAAACATACTTCTATTTTTTTTTTTTTGATAAAAATAAATACCACAAAACCAGAAAAAATTACAAAATTTTAATCTATTTTTATAATTTAAGAAAAGAAAAAAAAAAGCTAATAAAGGGACGCTAAATTTTTAATATGAAATCACAATAGAATTATAAATTATGAAGCGTTCAAAATCATTATAAGTTACACGTAAAATTTAGCTCGTGTTAATTGAAATTAGTTTTATAATATACATATAAGACTAAACCATTGTTTTAAATTAATTAAAATTTGCAAATTTTCATTTTCCAAACCTTTTGATGGTAAAAAAAAAAAAATAATTATTATGTCAAATAACAATTATGGTTTAAAAAAAAAACTCTTAAAATAACATATAAAAAAACTTTTTAAAATTTTAAAAAAATTAATTTTTATTCATAAATTAGAAATATTATTGAAACTTTATTATTTTTACTATTTTGTTTAGTTTATTGTGTCCGGAAAGGACAGTGGGGCAGCCACGAACCATGGTAGGCAGTACAAAACAGGCTGTAAATATTTAATATATATATATATATATAAATATAATAAGTAATATCCGCACGTGTTAAATTGTGTGGAGTTCGTGCGATAAGCGACTCCAATTATTGTTCCCTTCCAAAATATCTCGTTGTCGGTTATCAAGACTGTGTGGTTTCCCTCCTTCTATTCCCGTCAGTACGGCGTCGTTTTACCCCGTGAAAAAAATAATATTTTAATCGATATTTTTAAAAATAAAAACGACAAAGAAATGGCCGAAAAATAAAGTAATCTATATTTCAATTCATTCTTTACACATAAAATTTCAAAAAAATGATTTAAAAAATAAATTGTGGGCCCAGTCTCTATTATTTTAATTTTTAAATTATATATTCCACTTTAGAAATGTAATTTATATTCTCATTGTCTATCAACTTGTTTTTTTACGTAATATTTTACTAAAACGAGAAGAACCCATTAAAATTTTAATCATAATAATGAAGACTTAATTGAGAAGAAAGGTAATAGCATAAACTCCGATTAATCTAAATAAAGTTCTCTTAAACATAATTTTAAATTAAATTATGACATTTTAAAAATCTTATATTAGAGAAATCATTTGGATCATTTAAAATTATAAAATTTTAATATTTATGACAAATTTATTTATGGGTAGTTTTAATATGCACGGACGGTGAATTAAAAATTAAAAAATATATTTAATTATTATTTTTGGAGATAAAAAGAAAGTATTTCGAATCTGACTTTTCGATTGAAGGGTCAAATAAGGCTGAAAAGTTACGAGGTACGAAAAGACTAATCCACCCTTGATGGGTCTAAAATGATAAACAAAAAAAGTGCCTTAAATTAATATTAAAAAAATATCTAATAAACTGCCAAAATAATTAAAATAAACAAGTCTTCAAATGGCACATGACTCAACTTGCAGTAAACTATAATTAATCTGAAAAATTGATTATTTTATTTCACTTTTATTGAAATTTAATCTAACTTTATATTAAAAATTTACGGTGGTCACTTTTAAAAAATAGAACTAAAATAAATCAAATTTAAAACTTTGTTTTTTTTTTAAAATTATTATTATTATTTCTCTTATGGAATTAAAACTTTAATGAAAGTGAAAATGTCCCAATTATACCCCTGTCTATTTTCTAAGATATTTACACGTAATATTTTTTATAAAAAAAAAATCTTACTAAAAGTAAAGAGAAAAAATTTATTATTTTCTTTTTATCAAAAAATTGTGAAGAAAAAAAAAAGGGAAAATGGTCTCTGATTGCGGCTTTCCTTCACAATTCTCGTTTATTTGAAATTAAAATTCATTATATTCAACAATTTTATGTGGGAAATTTCTTTTTATTTGGAAAATTAACGAAAAAAAAAAATTAATTAACTACTTAATAAATAGAAATAAAAAAGAGAATTACTTTATCAAATCTTGGCATCAATTCAATAAATCTTATCTATTAAATTATACTTATTAAGTCGATATATTTATTTTAAATATAAAAATATAATATCTAAAAATTAATAAAAATATTCGAATATGTGCCCCAAATGCAAAAGTCCACTTAACACCGACGTAAATGATAGTTTTGAAATCTTTATAAAAATTTAAAAATAATATTTTTAGTTTTTAGTGAAAATAAATATTTTAAAATTTTAAAATATATATATATATATTGAATTTGAAATATGAATTATTGGTTATTTTAGGTAAAATATAATTAGTATTATTTATTAAACCGGGGACCATATGATGAGTTGGATTCGGAGATGTTACACACGCTGAACAGTCGACGACGCCGTCTTAAATGCTTGAAAATTAAAAAGAGAGAGAAAAAGCGAAAAAGCGAAATAAAGAATTTATAAAAAAAAAAAAAAAAAGTCAAATTTATTTTAATAATATTAAAAAAACTAATAGACGTCAAAATCAATTTTTTTTTTTTTTCCATTTTTCTTTTCATTTAAGGAATAATTTATTTTCAACTAATAAATACGAAAGGGTATAATAGAGAGATGAAAGATGTTTGGGGCCAGACACAAGGGTATAATAGTAATTTCATCATATGAAAACTCGTTTTATAAAATCGGTCCGTCACGTTGGTTCAAATTTTCAAATCACCCCCCGATAAGATTAAGATCCCTCTTCTCCGCCGTTCAAACCGTTCTCTGAAAAATCTAATCTTTTTTTTCAAGAAATTTGTTCATGGGGTCTTTGAAGCTGCCTCCGTCGACGACGGTGCTGAAATGGCTGGGATTTGTCTCCGCCGTGTGGGTTCAGGCCATTTCCGGCAACAATTACACCTTTTCCAACTACTCCGACGTCCTTAAGTCTCTGATGAATCTCACCC